CGATGTTAAATAACAAACCAAACGATGTTAACAAAATGACGTAGAAAGCGCAACTAGATCAAAATTATACAAGCACAACTAGATCAAATTATAATACCTGAGTGCTTGACGTAACAGATATAGAAATAGAATTTGATACCATAAAAAATTATATAGAAATAGAAATTGATACCATAAAAAATTTATTCGTTTTCGTGTTCTTTTCATGTATTTAGCATTTTAGTTTTTTTTTCTTAAGCGTTGTAGCTATATAATTTCAAACATCCTCAAGAGCTATAACACATCTGCAGCAGAACTGGATATGAAGACAAAATTGCTGGACAGGAACACTTTAATTGTCCACTAATCTTCAGATTTCCTGCTATGTTTTAAAAATCTTTATTTGTGAAAACCTTCAGCGTGGCGGACAGCTGGCCGCCTTAGGCGGCTAGAAATAAATAAAAGGAATCTACTTGTAACAATTTTGATTAATAAAAAGAGTTTATGACGAATTTGTTGTTAAAAGTATTAATCTAGGAGCCTTATATTAATCGTATGGGCTAGGTAAAGTAGCTTGCAGTGAAGGGTACAAGCTGTGAGACTGAATTTGATATTGCATTAACTGGTTGCTAATATCAGCAGTGCATTATTTACACTCCTTCACTTTTGTTGCAATTGACAACCAATTGATGCACGATGTAAAGACGATTTAAGATACAATTAAGTGACGTTAGCTTAGTTTCTAAGTTTATGTTTCTATATCTACAATGGTTTTTCGGTCTTGTTGGCACTTCAATTTTAAAAAGAAAGTCATGTCAAATTATTTGTATTATAAATATTTATGGTATTATATTGTACTAATTCTATTTCTCCGAAAAAATATAAAATATTATTATTTAACCAAAACTTCATTTTTAAAACTAATATATATATAAATAGAAATGTAGTTAGTTAATTTTTCAATGAGTACTTTAAATGAAAAATGGGAGTAAGAATATCTAAATCTTTACAAATTAGTAAACTTAGTGGCAATAGTTACACTGATATGCAATTAGATTTTTAGCTACAATATTATCTTAACCAAAGTATATGTGCCAAATTTGAGCTTTCCTCTTCTATAATAATTAGCAACACTTTTATTTGTTTTACTGCGTCCCCTGTTCGACTTAAAGCTCACTAAAGATAGAGTGTGTGCCCTCAATTTCGAGAAAACTGGTATATTTTTTGCTCACTTTCCAGTGAAAGGTAATTAGTTTTTCATATTTGTTTTTGTAGTTTTTCGTTGCATTTTGTAATAATTATTTATACTTTTAATTCGATTCACTGATTACTTCTGATAAACCATACTTCAACCTATTTTAAGACGGTTGCTTTAAACTTCTGTAATTTTTCCCGCTGCACTTGTAAATTAACAAGCCCATGTTTTTCCAAGTTCATAAATTAAATAAAAGGAACATGAGGTGCATTAAAATACAAAAAACATTTCTAAAGCCAGGGTCAGTCTCTCAAACTCGCTAGTGTTTTCAAAGCACTGTGCTTTAATAATTAATGGATTATCATTTCAAAAGTTCAGAAATACCTCAGATTCAAAATTTAGTAACATAATGTTCTGAAAAATTAATCCATATAGTTCAGTAAAATTACAACTGTTGTTGTTGTTGTCGTCGTCGGCAATTAAGACTGAAGGGGTGCGATTGTTCTTGTTTTCCAGTGGCGCCATCTATGGCCAAGAATTCGACTTCTGCCACATCCATACGCCCCACCTGTTTATAGGGTGAACCCATTCATACATCCATTCATTCATCCACAGATAGTAATTTTGACCTGAACCAGAGAACGATCAATCTCATATCCTGTACCCCCAGAGGTATTGATTTATTATGGTAACATGGAGGAATTTATGACCAGACAGATTTAATGTGCACCAGTCATCATTTACTACACAGGGAGTTTTCAGCCGGCTGGATTCGAACTCCCGTTGAGTCCAGCACCCTGCCAACCAGGCTATACTGGCCAAATTTACAACTAAAATCTTATTATTAGATTACTAACTTCTTGTTCCTCCAAGTATGCCGCACATTTTCTGTCCATCCGGTAGTAGGAGATGATCCTTGACACATCCGGCACTCTCGGCAACATCGAAGCTGGTGAAATCCAGTTGCAAAAGACATGCCTGAGCTTCTGAACGATGGATAGTGTAAGTACAGCTTTCGATTGATGCATCGCTGTCTGGAAAAGTAATGCGACCTACTCGGGAGTTAACAGATTGAGAGCAAGACGATGATCGAGTCGACGCTAGAAAAAGGGGAAACATTATATAATCGATGATAATAATAAAAGCAATAATCAAAAATAAAAAAAATTTCATCGATAACTAATATTAAAACACTGTAATTGATGAAAAAAATAATACAATTATTAATATTAAAAACAATAGCTTATAACGAAACTAATCGATAACCAAGTCAAATATGTGATACTGTAGGTACAGCTGGAAATAAAAATTTTAACAGATGAAATTTTTGTATAGAAAACTAGATTATTTTTGGCTCATGTTAATAAGCGCATGATCTGCTATATACAAGGTGTTGCGAAATTAAAGAACAAATCTGGTAAAAAATTTAAGGCATATCATAAGGATTAAGAATTGCATAGCAACGCGTGATCTGAAATGTCATCGTACACCACTAGGGTCACTTTCCTTTTATAGTCTGGCCATTTATGCGCTTTAGAACTGGTAATTTTATTTACCTAAATTACCTGAATTCCATGTTTTCTAATGAACATTGCCGAAAACTGCAGACATAGAAATGTTTGTGTTTTCTATATTTATTGATTTTGTGTTCAATTTTCTTACCTCGGCAACCAATTGCTCAGAAATGGACCCACCCTGCAGTTTTTGCAGTTTTAATTCTTAACTTTATAACGACAACTCATTAAAATGCATGGTTCTTTCTTTTTTTCTCAGAAAAATAGGATCATATTTTCAGAAATAAAAAGCAGAAAAAAACAGGATTATATAGAATCATTATCATTCAGAATTATCTGGGCTCCTTAAGCCCTTTTTCCATTCAACTTTAAGATTTTGACTTTATTTAAGATAGTATTTTTTGGTTGTAATCCAAATTGGAATGAAAAGAAAAATTTAATGCTTTGTTTTCAAGATACAGAAGAACCGATAAAAAACTAAGCAGCCATTGACATGAACTTCATTTCTCCTTTTAAGTTTCCAAATGTAAAAATTTGCATTAAATACTGTGGCATCACAATTTAAGGCTTTTTCAAAAAACATTTGCGATGTGATGATCAACGAGACGTGGTGACTCATGGGATAAAGCTTTGCCTCCCAGCGAGGTAACATGGGCGCGAATCCCAACCATGGTAGGTCGAAACGAATTCCACACCTCGCTTGCATGGACCACAGTGCTGATGTAAATTATCATCAATGGTAAACGGATCATGTTTTAGAGTCCCCTTGCCACCCGGCTAACCTTGGGATTTTTGTGTGTGGTTTTCCTCTCCATATAACGCAAATGCAAGTTAGTTCCATCAAAAAGACTTTCATGAAGGCAAATTTCCCCCAATCCAGGAGTTACCTTGTCTTCAGGATTAGGTTCAAAATTACAAGAAGTTGAACAGTGGTAGCCCGTAAACTCAAAATTGTGTCGGCTGTTCAACGACGGTTTTAAAATAGAATATGATGATTAGCTGAATGCCTGTACTTTATTATTTATCGTGCTTTATTGATGGTTAGCTGAACACCTGTACTCCGTATGGGGGAGGGGGAGAATCAATAAACAATCGGCAATGAACAACCCTACGAAGTCATGCATAAAAATTAGAGACAATAAATATTGACGCAATTAATAAAGATAAAATAATTTCAATGACTTTTATATATATTATTATTATAATTCATCCTTATCTGTGACTCTACTTTAATAGACTAAGCAAAACACGTTTTTAGTAGCTCATCTCGTGAAAATAATGATTAACTTAATTCAGTATCACCTAGCATGCTGCAATTGCATGAAGTCAACTCATGGTATTTTAAATTTAATACAATCAAGCTGTTTTCTCCAGTACCTTCGAGGAGCCTAAATGAACCTTTTTCCTCCGTATCTGTAATAAAAATGCACAGCATGGAGCAGTTTTAATAGGCACCACATTTACTCATAAAAACACTTCTTACTAGACTGTATACTGATTAAAACTGCACCAATTACTATAATACTTCTGGCAAAAAAAATAACTATATTCTATGGTAATTTCAGATTCAGAAACTTATGGGGAGGTATTTCCCACATTCAGGAAAACAAAACCCTTCCTAAACATTCTGGACAACCCAGTGCTTCTCGTGAATTTTCACAAACTAGAAATAACAGGTCCTAATTTTCATAGATGTGTAAAATTAGAAGTAGATAATTCATAATTTCACAGATACGGGACCTTTAACAAAATGCCGTGCTTCAGTTTCAAACCATGTTTCAGCTTTGTCAACATTATATGATTGCCAATGATTATATGATAATGAAATGTTGTCTTACCAAGCATCATCTTATTCGTGTCATTCATGCATGAAAAAGGTAGTTGCTTCACTTCAATCGAGAATCCCTTCTTCTGGTGAAATGTACTGAAGAACTGGAACACTAGTTGATCCGAATTGAGTGGAAAGAAAACAAATTCTGGAAGGAGAAAAATAGTGATTATTTTAGGTAAATAACATTTCTTAAGTTTTGGGCAACAACATATATATCTTTTATCTTTCTTTCTGACTTTTCCTTTATATCTTTACAATAGCCTTATCCTTCATAAATTTTGAGATAAAAAGTATACAAATTTCAGTTTTGCAAACACATTATATTCATTTGTTATGTTTAATATTAGGTTCTTGGTTTACCGACTGGACTGTGTAGGAGTCAGGGAACTAGCCTTGCAACAGAAAGGCTCTTGGTTCGAATCCCGGGCAAGACATGAATGTTCTTTCATTCTCTGTACTATCTATCCTTACTGTGGGAGAAACGTTGGCCCACCTAATAGGGTGCCCTGAAAGAGTGGCCAATAAATCTGCCCTTCAGATGCCTATATGACGAAAGCTCATTCCCCAGATGGGCATTGGAAAAAAAAAGGTACCTGATTTAATCCAATCCTTTTTTCTCTCGCGTGTACTTATTTTATGAAGATAAAAATTGATGTCTCAATTGTTTCATTTTTTAAAAATATATTTCGTGGAAAACAAGGCATTTAGGCTTTCCAAAATGTGGTAAGCTTTTGCGTTCGAGATTTATTTAAGGGTTAAAAAATCTGAGATTACTACTAAAAGTTTACAAGAAGTAACTCAATATTTACACATTACCTTACAGTACCTGCAGTGCTGCCAACTACTACGCTGCACAATATCTTATAGAGTGATAAACAAAGAAAAACTAAAGCTTTCGGAATCTTTGGTAATTTTATCAACATTTTAAATCGCTCATCACGAGAGAGCGGACACAAAGTGCCGTTTCATACCAGCTTTTAAATCATTTACATATAGTGGCGTGGAAAATGACTTTAAATCAAATTTGCAAAATAAAGAATTATACATAACTACTACCTCGGACATAGATGACGCCACTGGAAAACAAGAAGGACCACACCCCCTTTATCTTAATGGCCGATGACAACAACAACCTACGTGCTTGACTACTACTATATATACAGCTACCACTAGAAGAAATTTTACCAAAAAACGTAGAAAGTTGCCAGCCCTGTATCTGGTAGCTACTAAATAATAACAGTGGTAACTAAATATTAAGATAATGTTGAAATTTTAGCACATAGAAGGGTAGGTATGTTAACAGGGACAATGGCAAAGATGATAACTTGCTCCATTTTGTAGCAAATGTTTTACTAGTGGTAGCAAACTTTATGTTTTAATGTATTATTTTTAATTTAGAATTTTTATTTAAGATCTATTTTGCCCAACACTACGCATAAATAATTGTAAGGTTAGGTTTATGTAAAGAGCTCCTTTGTTTCTTCTATCTCGTGATGACCCATTGTGAACGTTGTTAAAAGTAACTAAATTTCTTCAAATTTAATTTTTAATACTCTACTACCTTTATAAAAAAAATTTCAGAAAGCGAAGCAGTCGGCATCCTTGCAGTAATAACTAACAGACCATTATAAATGAGGACAAAAGGTCACCATTTATGTATAGTTACATTTTGATCTGAAGCTATAGATTATGGATTTGCAATATTTTTTAGCGCTAACTGGCAGCAACGTTTTTAGGGAAGTACTTTTTACATCAAGTGTTGAGAGTTTATAACAACAGCGAGAAATGAGTTAATAGATGTGATTTTGTCTGCACGTTTTATGATAAATGATTCAAACATATGCATAAAATAGGTGATAAATATCCGGTGATGATGTGAGTTGGCTATAACAAAAATAACTTCTGCTTAGAAGAATTTTTAGTAATAAATATTACCACAGCTGTCAACTTGTTCGGTTGTTGGGAGAGACTTTGCGAAGTGGTTATACAATAATACTTAAAGTATAAAAAGTTTTCTGAAAATTTAACGGTTTCTCCAACATTTAAGTTCCTATTTACCGTACTTATGTATGTTATATATACATGTTTGTATTATTGATTTTTTAATGATTTGTAACATATTTAAAATTAAAATTTATGCTTCATTATATAAACGTTAGTGTTTCCAATAAGAAATTATATTCTAATGGATAAGTTGGCACCCATGCATTGTTGTGTATTGTGTTATTGCTTTTATTAAAATAAAATTCAATAACGCTTTCTTTAAGTGTTTACCTACCGGATTACCAATACTAAGAAAGTCATTTCCATGAAAAAAGTAGCACATTTCTAAATCAATAATGTGAATATTTTATAATTTTAGAAACAACCAATTTTGCAATAAAAGTGCAATATTGATATTATTTCAGAACTAAATAACTAAATATGTATATTAATATTTTCAATTCATTTTTGTGAATGGATTTATGTGGGTATCCAATGCAAAGTAGTAAAGTATATCTTTTAGTAAGCATATTTTTATTTCAATTAGTAACTATTACCAAAAATAATCAAGTATCGTTTTCGTTTTAGAAGTCTTAGAAGACTAAATACTATAAATCAAAAAACCACTTAAACCCGATAAATTCAGTTTCCGATAAATTCAGAAATACTATTTTATTGACTTAGACGACTAATGATAATTGAATTACCTTGACCATTTTGCTTATCTGACATTACGAAAAAAATATAATTTATCCAATAATTTCCTTTTATAATGAGAGCTAATAAGCTAGAAAACAAGACTGCTGTTATCGTTGAAATAAAAGAAAACGGAATAATTTAATTTAATAATTAATCGTAAATTAAACGGAAAATTAATCGTCTCTAATTCAATTTTCATCAATGGCAAGTTCTGCAACAATCAGAAAATACCGTTTCGTTTTTGGATGATGCCGCTTCAACGGTTCGTAGTACAATGTTCTAATGTCAACAGAGACATTCTCCGTGTTTCGAACTATCAGTATTCTGAATTTCATCGCTCTGGGTCGGATAGTTTAGGAGTCTATGAAGTACGCACAGAAGGACACACTATGAAGGACACACAGAGAGACATTTATTTTTATACATAAAGATAGATAATGTAGTTTAAGAATTGCTATGAGCATAGTAATTGTTATAAAAAAGGAAGTTTACTAGATATCAAGGAATTTTTTTACTTAAAATTACTTAGTTCTTTGAAATGAATTATAAAAACGGTGTTGCCAAATTTACTTATTTACGGGAATATAACTGCATTGTCTCTTAGAAATCAGCAAATTATTAATGTGTGTTTACCCTCGGTCTAAGCCGATTATAACTGTTCATATAAAACAAATAAGGTAATTAAAAATGGAGCAGACGATTAAAAAAAAATTCTATGTGATTGTCAAGTTGAAAAATTGGATCAAATATAAGGAAGAGTTTCGGTGAGAATTGTGTTAGCACCTGCTAACTAAGTAAGCAGTTACTCAGCCAATGTTTGAACAAAAAGAACGGACAGGATGGAACCAAAAGATTAGAAAGAAAACAAGATCAATATACGCCTATTGAAGGTCATAAAAAGTGTTACAATGAAAATTTTAGGCAAATAAAATGATGAATAACGAATTTAATGTGTTAAATGAAAAATAGTTTTCTGCGAAAACATCCGCCACGAGCTCGACCAGTTAATTCCTTCCTCTACTTACTTTACTTCTGTGCTCCCACGTGCTTAGTATTCATGTATCGCCGTTGAAGAAAATTTTTTATTGTTGGTTACAATATTTATTCTTCAATGTATGAATATTGGTTTTAAAATGTTGATTAAAAATTCTAGCAAATAAATAATTCAATCTTAGTTGTTCTATTAAATGAGCTCTTACGTGTCATCGAAGTAGCTCAATTTTCTGAAAATTCTTCCTATTTTAATCCTTTAACGTGCAATTTATTTCTAGTATGAATATACTAAAATATTTTAGAATTTAGGTTAAAAAAATTTGAATTGTGACACCATTTTTTTCTGGTAAATATGTTTACCACCACCCATTCATTAGCTGTTATAAAATAGGTGTTATAAGAAAACAAGAAAACTCATGACTTTTAGTTCTTTTAATTTATAAAATATATTTCATTAATTCTACAAACTGCAAAAGGAATTATATATTATATTTTTTTATACATTCCCTAAAAACGAGCATACTGTCCCACATTTTGTTCCATTCCACCGCGTTTTCAATGATGAGGAATGGTAATGCATATTTCTGTATTTATCAAGAATATTTATCAAAATTTTTTATGAAAATAAATGAGAGGCATCTTTTTGTGTATAGGAAGAGTATCACAACTTTTCCTGATTGATAAAATATGGAGCACCTTTGAAGTTTGAAGCTGTTCTATGAGAACTACTTCCCAACAGCTAGAGAATAGGTAGTCAAACAGTTTCCAGTTCAGATAAAACCAATTATTTAATGGTTAAGTGTATATAAATGTTCAATAGACATAACTTCAGACCCCACTTCGTAATCTACTTCACACGTATTTGTTAATTGCTGACATCGTTTAGAAAACAAAATATTTCAGCCGTTGGTAGAAAAAGCAAAAAGTTTTCTCTTTCCATTTGCCGTAGCTTATCTGCTTCAATTTTTCCCCAACGCCCACATAGGTTGACATTCGCCAATTCAAGCGTATTAGGGCAGATTTGTTCGCCACTATTTCGGGGCGTCACATAGGGAGGGCCAACGCTGCTCCCACAGTAAGGACAGATAGTACTGAGAATAAATGAACATCCATGCCTTGTCCGGGATTCAAACCCAGAACCTTTCTGATGCAAGGCCAGTATCTATTTCAACATCAGTTTTCAATTTATGCAGCCACCAAAACTAAATACAAAAGGAATGTAGATGCTGAACCTGGCCGTCTCCAGTTATCAGAAACTGAACACATAATTGTGTAAGCAAAAACAACCTCACTCTCATCATTAATTCATCTGAATATGTTCAAATTACTAGTTTTGAATTTTGTTCAATTTGTTTCCCATTCATTTCTCTCTTTTCCAAATGATATGAAGAAATGCATGCAAATGAAGAAACTTGCTACTAAAATAAAGTTCTGAGAAAAATTTCTATAGCAAGTTGGTTCATACGAACCAAAGCCTTCTAATGAGATCTTAAAATAAAAATATTCGACAAGCATGTCACCAAATTAAGCCAGAAATTTTTGGACAAAGCTCTAAAATGCAATTCAGCAAACTTTAATAACAGTATTAAGTGCCAGAACCTAGAATGCAAATACATTAGACCTATTGCAGTGCACTTTTTCAGCGATATGACAAAATCAAGACATCAAATGTATATATTAAATTCACCCATTATTGCCCACAGTCTTAAAGACTAAACAAAAAGAACAACGATATCCCCTCCTTTCGTATATGAAACTTTTTTCAGTTTTCTGTAATTTATGGACACTCACTGACTATTATGGACACTCACTGAGTATTATGCACACTCACTGAGTATTATGCTCACTCACTGACTATTATGCACACTCACTGACTATTATGCACACTCACTGAGTATTATGCTCACTCACTGACTATTATGCACACGATGAATGGGCAAAGGTAATGTTTGCATCAGGTACCCAGCTCCATTTAATAAGTTAAGTGAAAAAGTAGATGTCATTAGGTTCTGGTAAAATATAAAAACATATTTGACTATAATTAATTTTTCAATTCACATTTTTCTACTTCTTTGGAAAATCATTTTTGAAAAGAACATAAGCTGGCAGGTATGGCATTACCTCTTTATTAATTCCTAATTTAAATCACAAAAAAAAATATTTGAGTTGCGCCAATTGAAATAAAAAAATTTTATACAATTATTTTTTTTTTGTTATGAAGTATGAACTGTTGATAATTTGAAACAAAACTTACTTTTCGAACCAGGAGGAAGGTCGCCACATATTTTGTACCTCCTCTCTCCGTTCTGTATTTCAAGAAAATCCTCTGAACACTGAGTGAAAGTCATTTTCTCCACTTCGAACCAGTCCACTGTTAGCTTGACTTCACACACGTCTTTGGAGAATCTTTCTATCATGTAGTAACATCGAGAATATCTTGGATACTTGTTTGGATAATTTGGAGACTTTATGTAGCCGTACTGAGTATTAATTGTCATGTTACAACCTCCTAATAATAGAAGCAAAGAATTTCGTTATTGGCGTGATTTTACCTAATTAACAGTGGAAATTTATGCAAGTAATTAAAAAGAAGGTAAAATTCCTAATCCTAAGAAAAATGCAATAGTAGCCTTCATTAGTTAAATTATATTATTGAAGGGCTTAGAATAATATTTTTCTCTATTTGAGGAAATCTATGCAACGTAAAAATTTTGGTACTGTGCAATATCGCATTTTTTTTATTTACTTTTTCACTGTTATACGTAGTTGATTCATGTTCTCATTTTTTTTCGTTTGTTTACTGATAACATATATTTTCATGCGCATTAGGATCAATTTATAGCTTCATGTCAAAAACATTTTGTTTTATAAAAACAAGCACATTTCAAGAAATATATTTGCCTATATTCTTTCAAATAATTGTTATTTTGTCAATTTTAAATAATTTTTTGCCGGAAAACTACAGTACTGTTCTTAAAAATATATTTAGTTTACCTCAGCACAAATGGTGGCAATAATACACAGTGTGAGATGTAAAAAAAACGAGGAAGCTATTTATATATATTTTTGGATTGGAAGTAACCTTATTTGTAAACTTTGGTATAATAAACTTCTGTTTTGTGTTTACAGCAAATTCACAAATGTGAGTATCTAAATTAAAAAGTTTTAACTTTGTTTTGTATGTAAAATTAACACAGCGAGCGAAAGTCACATAACCAGACATAAAATTGATACGGTTTTATAATGAACTGCTTCCTTCGGAAATGAAATGCATTCTGCATTCGACTCTGGTGGAGGTATGGAAAGTATCTTACGAGTATAAATAGGTTGCTGGATATCTGTGTTATCTCGGTGTTTGACGCGAAGTTCCACTGACCGATTCATCTTTATTGTGCTGACATAAAATTATAAGTCATCTTTAAAGTCGTATGCTAGTTTAAATAGGGGGAAACGCCCATGGTAAAAAGAAAAAAAAAAGCAGAGGGAAATGTATAGCCAGAGGATAGTGGTCAAATACACAATAGGCACAATAAGTCGGGAATGGTTAAAGTAAAAATAGGAAAATAAAGGAAAATATAAAATTATTATATATTAATTATTAATATTAAAAGGAAAATAAAGATAATAAAATAAAATTAGCTATATACAATAAAAAGTCTAAAAGATTAACTACGAATATGATTTGAGAATAGTAGCACTTAAATATTTACATAATAAAACAATTTACAATAATGTACATTGTGATCCTCTGCTAAAACAGTGACCCGGTCGTCCCGGCAAGACCACCACTCGTACCCAGTGGCGTACGCAAGGGAGGGGTTTAGGGGTTTTAACACCCCCCTTGAGCTCAGACAAAATGGCAAAAATAAAAATTTTAGTAGAAATTATGCGAGCTATTATTTTTTAAGACTATATATTTTTATTTGCCTTATGCCTACTTTTTTTTTCTCACGGTATTTCTCAGAATACTGAAAAAACATTTACTATAATAGGGTTGTACTTTTGAAACCAAATTCACGTGATACTGTTACGGACTGGTTCCTTTCTGTCCTGCCAGTATAGTTTTCGAGACTGGCTGTCATTCGCGAGGTCTTTACGCGATGATTCTGGAATCCTAGACGTTCTGTCGTCTTTGAGACAATTCGAGAATTTTGGAGATGCGGTGAAAAATTATATAAAAGGGGGAACGGAGTACAGTGGAGTTAGTTAGTCAGACTAAGAGTTATCTCTGCCGCTTGTCTTTCGGAGCTTGTCGCTAAATCTGTTTTGATTTATCTCAACAAAAAGTTCATTCAATCGCCGAACCCGTCGTCGCCACTATTTCGACTAGTGAAGAAATCAGTAACAATACCATTGGAGATACTGTGCTCGTTGAAGTTATTCATTCCAGCTCGAAACTTTGAGATCGTAGCATAGCGGATATTTCTGTGCCAATATATATATATATTTGCTGTTCTTGGATCTTTAGGATTTAACAATTTTTAACACAAGAATTTAGCAATTTTTAATTATTTTGAGAAAAAATCACGATCTGAAATTAGTGAGGTGACAGCATCTAGTACCAATGTAAGTTTTTCTGTTGTACAGAAATGTGATACTTCCGTTGAAGAAAACGTTTCTAGCATAACAAAATCTGATGAATGTGAAAGTGGCCCTCAAAGTGTTACTTCCCACCCATATGACATTGGACTTTTTTCAGAAGATATTACATGCGAGAAGATATTACATTATGTTCTTAAACTTAAAAAATCAAATCAAAATTTAACTAAACAATGTTGTCTGAATAAAAAGTCAAAATTGTCTAGCTGTCTAAATTAAGGAAATAATAGTGCTTTATTACAGATTCGAATTTCTTTTAGTAGTTCCACAAAATTATGAACACCCCCCTTGAAAAAATTCTGCGTACGCCACTGCTCGTACCGGATTACTCACTGTACTGTATTTAATAGTTCTACGGCTTGCCCGGATCGGACCCTATAGGGTTTATAAATTGGTTTATTGGATCTGCCAAATATCTACTCTTTTTGGAAAATTTTCTTCTGGTGTTAGCTAAGTTTATGTTTAAATTTATTATTCTTTATTTTGTATATTTGATTCAAAAATACTTTCCACAGCATAACATGTAAATCCTTTATAAGTTCACATGAAACGCCAGCTTGCTACAGCTTTTTTTGAGATGAGGCTTTATTATTGGTAAAATTGCAAAAATTCTGAATGTTTTTGTTTTTAACTGTCCACCACTCTATGAAACATTTCGCAAAGAGCGTAATAGTTAATTTGCAGTTAATTTGCCTCACAAATTAGCTGCCCTAGTTAATTTGCGTTTTTTTCACATTATCTTAGCTTACAGCTTAACTCAAAAATTTCAATATTTTCAAAATTTCTCATAACATATTATGTCATTGAGTGGATGAGTATTTTGAATTCCTTTATTTAAAATGAACACCATCTTGTTTTGTTTTTTTTAATTTTTAAGTGATAGTAATAAGAATAAGTTTCATTTTTAAAATGTATTTCTCATTTTACGGCATATTGATAATATTAATGTCATAAAAAATGTTTGAAAGTTCTTAACGTAAAATATAATTATTTTTTTCAGATATTTAAAGGGGGAGTACAGAAATTATTAACATTTATATTAATATAAGTTCACTTACCATTTCCTATCTTCTCAATGGAGTCATTCTAAAAATTAGAGAAAAAAATGTGGATTAGTTTCTATTTTTCTATATACAATTCTATATACACTCGCATATAGCGACCCCTGGCTTAACGAGAATCCGGATTTAACTTGGTTGGAACAATGTTAAGCCTATTGGTGCATAACTTGTTTTTAACAAGCAAACCCCGCTTTTAGCGAGCGATATTTTTGTGATTCATAAAATTTCGACTTACTTCCCCAGCTTAGCTAAACCCTTCTGGGAAAAATTCGTTTAAAATCTGAAGAAAACTGAAAATTTGTATGAGTCAGTTTAGTTAGCATTCAGCAAACACGTGAACTTCATTAAATAGCAAATGACGATGTTTTTTGCCGATGAGTCTTGTCCGAAGAACAGAAATATAAAAAGGAGAGAATAGAGATGTCCAAGCCAGAAGCTGAACTATATCACTGAGTGGAATAATTGCATCATATCTTTGGACGATTCATATTCACATCTCCATAGAAACGAGATCCTATTGGTTGCTATCAGTAACTAAATTATCATTGATGGATTGCCGGTTAACATCTGAGTGAAGTGACGTCAGCTTAGGCATCTTTAAAGTAAATTAACTAACTTCTTTTGTAATGAAGGGCGAAAAAAATGAATAAAAATAACGGTTATTTAATAATTTAATAAGTAAGTATAACCTTTAGCGACTTTTTCACGAATCAGTTTTAACGAACACTCAGTTTTAACAAGCAAATTTCGCTGTTGTAAACGAGTTCGTTGCAAGCCCATCTTGTAAGCGATTTCGACTTTAGCGACTAAAATGATTAAAAAATGCAGTGAGAAATGTTTTTAGACCATTTCGGGAGATAATAAGAAAGTTTGTATAAGTTTTGCATGTAATATTCCTAAAGAAGGAGTTATTCGAAATCAAAAGCGATAAGATATAAGGGAAAAAGGGTTCTAAATCAAATCAGGTAGAAAAACTTTAGTCTAATATGAAAATACAAATAAGTAAAGGCAAGAAATAATAAACAAATAAATAGAAACTAAAAAAAGATGAATGAAGTAAATGAATAAATAATGTAAAATAAATTTCCCTTTCCACAGTGTAGCTAGCCAGTTTGGCAACATTAATTCAACAGATATTGCAAACCACTATAAATGTAAAACTAATTGCTTTTAAACGTTTAGAACTCACTATTCTTCTAAATAACAAAGAGCTGAGGAATGCTTAAAACGAATTAAAAAATTTTTGAATACTGACATTTAAGACTTATATAGAGATGCTAATGGGGGGGGGAGCTCCGGATTCGACAAAGTATTTTAAAAGACGGTAGAGAACTACAAATTAAAATTTGCAGATTTTCGGTTAGTTTTGCGAAATTTTTATAAAGCGCAACATGCCGTAACTGTATTAAAGTGACGAATCACTTAAGCTTTTGAAATATTTGGAAGTAATGGTGTGTTAAACACCGTTTAAATCGAATTTACCGAACCAATACATTAAAATACAACCACTCGAAAATAGTAATCCGCTTTCCGGAGCAAGTCTGCATCTCTACTTATTTAAGTTAAATCTCAACTTTTGTGTCTTAATATTAGGGAGAAAAAAATTAATAGCAAAAAAGTTAAATAAAACTGACTGGAAAACAGAAATCCGTTTTAATTACCAATTAAACGTGTCAAATAAAAGTAAAGACAAATTTTTACTTTTTAATGCAAATAGTAATTTGCTTGGTTATACTGTCTCTTAGTTATTCAACAGCACCATTAAACTAAATTATTATTTCTTAAAATCATTTTTTTGCTTTTAAAATATGTAATTTGCTGTTTGAGATATGTGTGTTCTTTTAACTTAAAGAAATTTATTACAGTTCACGTTCGTTTCGTTTTAGAGAAAAAGACTAAAAAATCAAATTCATCGACTTGTGTAATTAATAATAGCAAATAAGTGCACAGTTTGAATTTAACAAAGTTGCTCATGTGTTTTATTATCCATCAAAAGCGCCATTGAGCCAATTAGCATTTTTCTGTTTAAAATGATGAATGTGTTGTACTGAATATTTTTCTTATATTATTTTCGAATATTATTCTTCACTACGATACCCATTTTGGTCAAATCTGAAAAATACCCGAAACACCCAAAATCTGTTAGTGCTAACCTGTTAGATGTAAAATTAAATTCACACTTACTTGTGCATTAAGTTTATGGTTACATATTATCTTGATTTTTGAATATGCACTTTCAAATCTCCAAATACTTGAAATTCTTATTTAAAAAGACGGCCTGATAAATATAAAAAAAGGAAATTGCACGGAAAATCCTCGAAGGTATGCAGCACGAACGATAATATTTATCCATGTTAATACGTATTGTATTCAACATTGAAATAAATATAAGAACTAAAAAAATGATAATAAATTAAACTATCATAATTTACTTTATAAAATATATTTTTGTCTTCAAAAGCACACGACTTCATTAAAAAAATTGGCATTTAAGCATTTCATAGAACTAAAATAAAACAAATAACCGAACGATTACAGGGAACCATATAAATTCAAATAAAAGAAAACGATTTTTGGAAATATTTGGCACTCATATAGACGAAACGACAACAACAAAAGAAAACGATAAACTCAGCAATCAAACTTGTAGTTAAGACGTATTTTTACTGCAACGTGATTCTAAAAACATAATGGCTTGAGTGTAATTTTTTTGGCACGCATTAAAAAAAACACGTCACTTTTTTTTTAAATTCTTTATATTAGTTATTAGTTATATCTATCTATATCATGGTTATCATATTATCTATATTTTATATGCTCATTATTTACTGTCCCTCTATATCATCCCCAGGCTCAAGTTTTAGAGTGGAAACTATATATTTTTTTCTATGGTATGCAGCATTTACAATAATTTAAACTAAATAACATGAACTAGATAATCTAACTAATCAAACTAATTAAACTAAATAATCTAATCTACTTAATAATCTGAACTAAAGTTTGCCGCGACCTTAGAAATTTTTAACTTAGCTTAATAGCAATAATTTATAATTCTCTACTATTTTTTATAGAAAAAGGGTTTTATTCAGAGCTTTAAATTGTTGCGCAAGCACAACTTCAGTGAACAATAGGAACTTTTGTACTCTCATGTATATTTTCTACTAAAAAAATAAAAAATGGTGGCTCAATCATTTCATTTTTCAAATTTATTTCGGAGAAATAAGGAAAACTCGCGTTCAGTAAAATATATTAATGATGTAAGTATATTCATAAAATTTAAATCAATTTTCCGAAATCTTTTACTCTTAAATGTTACGCCAAGTGTAGGAAAACGGAAGAATCTTAACAAAAAATATATAAAAATAAATTATACCACACACCGTAAAGCAATTAAATGGTGTCCCAAATAATATTCTACGTATCAATTCATTTATAAAATACATTATTACACGTAATAACACGTTTTCGTGGAACAATTGTTTCGGAAAAGGTCAAAATGACGGAAGCAATTGTTATTATTAATCTATAAAATTCAAATAAACAAAAAATAAATGAATTGGTTTTTGCGTAAGAAGAGTCAAACGTTAAAGTTACGGTTGCAGTGATCTGTTTTTATATTTGAGGAGGCAAATCTATTTTTTCAACCTAGTTCTACAAGTGTTAACTTACCACCGAAACAATTTTTGATTTTCGTAGGTTTTCGAAATAAATTAAAGCTTTTTTTGAAGTCGTTTGAGTTAAATAGTTTTTTCGTAGTTTCATGAAATCAGAAATAAAGTATTATTTTAAAAAATAGTTGAACGGCTTACATAACGTGGTGTAAAAATGTCCTCGTTTGAGAGATCATAAACTGTGCTAATTTAAAATGGATGCCACGTTCTACCAGAAGTGTTTCATAAGTCTATACTCTGGTCTGAGTCAAGTACTGTTTTTAATTATAACAAACTGTGCCTAACATAATTGTACAGTGCTCAAATATAACTATAATCTATGATTATAATGTGGTAAAGATATTTCAGTATTAAAATTTGTCGCACAAGATTAAAGTCTAGAAAAATGATGAAGTCCTAGTAAACGCTTCATGAGTTAATGTTGTTTGTTTTAATGCTGTTTGTCCTTAAATGTTGATAGTATCTTTAAAATAATTGACTAAACTTAATCACTTATAGTTTACTTTAAAACAATTCCTTCCACTAAACGAATGAGAAAATTTCATATTTTAAATGTCTCTGCATAAAAAATTTAGTTAAAAAAAAATCGAAAATCGGACTTCATAATTTGATTACAATTGTGTTAATTTAGCTTCATGTTGAATATCATATTTTTAGAGCTTTCTCATGATGCGGTGTACAGTCACATACACAAATTCTTTATTTTATTACATGCATAAATGAACAGGCAGAGATACAAATTACCAAAAAAAGGGAAAACTTCGTTGTACAACCACTTTCACGTAGAGTGGAAAAATTGATACTGCCACGGCTTATTAACAGTTAAAACATACGTAGGTAAAATCACTTATAACCCATGATTTTTTACAAAGAAAAAAGATTGCGGCTACCCCTTATATTGCAGGGGGGACAAATCAGAATTCATTGGAAAAAAATATGTTTATGCAGAGAAAGTACGTTTTCGTGTTTATTAACTTAAAATATCGCCTGCACTAATTAATTAGCATATTTAAGGTCACCCCCTTAGAATCATTAAGAATGAGTCCTAAAACGTGAAGATTTGATCATTAGATCAAAAATTATTCGGGGTGGTCCATTTTTTTTCCAGCGCACTATACCAGAGACCTCGAGTGCAAAGAAAGTATTTAAAAACTCTTTACATACAATCAATTGTAACTAAATATTGAAATATATATTAAATGTTAGAAAATTTAAATTAATATTCGCAATACTGTCTCTAAATCATCAGAGAAAAGATTTATATTAACAAACGTCATGCAAATGTATAATACAATTGATTATAATTATAGATAAAATGACATATGTATTGAATATTAAAGCAATTAAACTAATT